CACATGCAAAAAGGGAGGGCAATTCAAGGGTTTCTGTATTCAAAGGCTGGGTCTTGATGAAGTCATAGGATAACAGGGCTGTAGAATTGGAGAGGAGGAGAAAGATGTTTCACAGAGAGAACGGATAGAATCTGGCATCTGATGGAATGTGGAAGGTGGGGGGGAGGGAGGCATCAGCGTTAACCCTGAGAGTTTGAGACTGGATTAAGTGCGGATTCCTGGAGGGAGGATTGAGGAGGAAAAATGTGCTGGGGAAAGATTGTAGAAGATGCCTGGCGACTATTACAAAAATAAAATAGTCTTTTAAGAAAAAATTCAGAGCTGGAGTTACAAGCAAATGTGAAAATCATCTGCACAAACTGACAACCAAAGCCACAATTCTGGATGAGATTTTCCATTGAGGAACAGCCACAGTTATTGTCTTCACATCACAAAGTCAAATGATGTTTTGCTAATTACCCACTGAGTTTGATGAATGTAGACAGCCAATATCAGATCATTACAGGCTAGGCACTTTGCAGCCTGAACAGCCCAGGTTTGTAGTCCACATCAATCAAATTAACAAGTCCTTGTCAAATCTGCCCTTGGCTTTGTGCTGTATCAATACAGCCAGTGGGTGCATGCCCACGCCGAAATTGAAAACTCGACTCAAGAACTCGAACCATTGTATCTCCACATCTGTGGTCGTCTCAACTATCACTTGGCCGTTGTACTTTACACCAGAGTCTCCCTGCACCTTTTACAGAGAACTTCATGAAGGGCGTAGCTTTTAAATGAGAGTTCAACACAATAGATAGGTTTATCTCTGTTTCATAAATGCAAAAACATGAGACCAAGAGCAGTTATAACTTATGTAGGGTCATATGGCTACTAAGTGGAGGTAACAGTAAACCAGTCTTCAGACTCCAATCTAATGGCAGGAAAGTTTTTGTTTTGTTTGTTGTACTAAACTGTACTGCCTGACCTTTAAAAAAAAAAGGAAGGAAGGAAGGAAGGAAGAAAGAAAGATCACACTCATTACTAATTAGCAGAGCTGAATGGAGCAGGAGGTTATCCATGTTCACTGTTCACTTCTTTTCCCTGATGGCCACTTACTGTGCCTTCTTTGTGTTGCCTGACGGTTTAAAAAATGAATATTATGTGACTATTGTGCTCATTACTAATTAGCACAGCTGAATGGCACAGGAGGTTTACTGGGTCTGTTGTCTGCCTCTTCTCCTTATGGCCACTTCTTTTGCTTTCTCTGGCTTACCTCACTGGCAAAAACTGGGTGAGTAGGTGAGTGAGTGGTATGTGCCCATGCGCGCACGCCCCGCCCACACGTGCACGCCCCGCCCACATGCACACGCCCCGCCCACATGCGCACGCTCACCTTCGTCGTTGATCTCAACCTAGGAGGCCAGTTCAGAAGGAGAGCTGCATCTCAGTGACACGTTGTCAAAGCCTCAGGCCCTGTTTCCAAGGGGATTTTTCATGGTTCTTCAGTTGCAGGCAACCAGTAACCAGCAGTCCCGTCTCCATGGATCACATGGCACAAGATAAACCTGCAGTCTGATGTAACTCTCGCATCCTTCAGAATGTAACTTCTAAACCAAGCATTATATTGAATTCTAAACTTCAAAATGAAGGTCAGGAACATTGTATAAGAAAAGACCAGTCCAAATGAGAATCAAGGTGTATTTTGCAGGTAAGATGACGAGAAGAGCAAAAAAGTGGTGAAAATCACTTTCTAACTTGTTCTAATCTTATAAAGATTTATAATATTTCTCTAAATATCTCACCAAATCTGTTAGACCCTAACATGTGAGATTCATGAGACTACACTTAGAACCAATTTCAAAAACCAACTGGAGAAAAACGTCCTAATTTACCTCTGCTTCAGCGTTCTGTCTGTCCTCTGAGAGAAAAAGAAGAGTCCACCAGACATTTCTTAACAGGGAGGCTTGGTAAGTCAGGTGTGGAGCCTCAAATGCTTCTGGAAAATAGATCAAGGAAATAGCCCCCCTTCCCTTAACCATTTGTATTGACTTATTGTTACTGGGTTTGAAGAGTTTTCTGAGGAAAAAAGACTTGAACCATCACATTATTGGAATTCAAACCTAAATCACCCTGTCTGGTGGAGGGGTGGCCCCGGTGAAAGTCAGACAACAACCAAGGAGCAGTCGGGCTTCTGAGGGAACATTGCCACTAAAGTATAAGGTCAGCATGTCGCAATCTGAGTGGTTTTGTATCTCCACGTAGAAACTTCAGACCTGGTGATGAGAATTGGTAGCAGATCTCTTAGACTTTTCACTTATATAGAAGACATAAAAATGCCTGGACTTGCAGGACTTGGGAAAGAGGTTTTCCCTAAAGAGAATTGGGCTCTGCAAACTTTGTGTTCCCCCAGTTTGGAAGCAGGGGACACTTGTCACTCTCTTCTCAAGCCTAGTGATCAGGATTTCTCCAGGACTGCAGAGAACACCTGGGCTGTAGTCTAACTCTCACTTTAAACTTAATGAGATAATAAATAAGTCAAATAATAAATTGACTTATTGACCAAACCTGAGGCAGCTTGTGCTCTCAGGTTTGGTCAGTGGGAAACGTGGGTGAGTGTTTCCCGTGGGCAGGGTTGCATAACTAAGAATGAATGTGGGGTCAGCTTTGGTCCTGTGCAGAGGGACTTCCTGGAGGGGCGAACAGGCCCAGTGGAGAGAAGCTACAGATATTGCCAAATACCTGGGGGCTGCAAAAGGAGTCAGCAATCTCCATAATGGAGAACACTTCACATGGGTCAAGGAACTTCAGATAAAAGGCACTCAGTGACAGGGTTCTCCAAAGAACTGAAGCTTAGCTTAAACCAAAGCTGGGATCACAGACCACAAATCCATAAGACACTTTCAGACATGTGAGAACTTTTCTGCTCCCCGTTTAACTCTCCTCTTCTCCTACTGCATTCCAACCGGGGAAGGGCAGAAAGAGATTCTAGCGATGGAAGAGGAGGTGAAGGAAGAGAGGACTCCAGCCCCCACTTCTGTGGTCTCCATCCCTTTCTTAAGTGTGATTTAATTTGGGGGGTGGGAAGGGGGGTCAGGGAGGTGACTTCACTTCGAATCAAGTGTGGAGTGCTGGTGTTTTATAGGCTGGACTTTCTGAATAAAAATTGAGTTTAGTAACCTAAAAATTTTTTTAAAGATTTTATTTATTTATTTTTAGAAAGAGTATAAGGGAGGGAGAAAGAGAGGGAGAGAAACATCCAAGAGAGAGGATCATCAACCAGTTGCCAATTAGCCACGTTCCCACCAGAGGCCAGACCTGAAATCCAGGCACGTGCCCTGACTGGGAATCAAACCAGTGACCTTTTGCTTTGCAAGACGACGCCCACCCAACTGAGCCACACTGGTCAGGGTGGTAACCTAAAAAATTTTTATCCAGCAGGTGGGGAGACAAAATAAAGTTGCGTTATAATTACATCCCACAAGTCTTGCTTTTTCTCTGTATCAATTATGCACACTTTCCTCCTACTTAGCCATTTTCACCCACTCACTTATTTGGGATCTGAGGAAGCTCCTTACGGGGCAAAAACTGCTACTTCTATGAATCCCCAAAGGCTCTCTGATTTCTCCCTTCAGTAATAAGGTTCTCAGTCCCTCTCCCTAGCCCATCACAGGGCTGTTCTATTTGCTCTGCAGTTTACTTACTCAAATTTAGAACACAGCCTCTTTGCCTTGATTTCCTGGAAACACCACTCACACAAGGCCTCACTTCAGGAGATTACTTTTCAGCACAGAGCAAGCAACTTAAAATAGAACACAAGGCATCCCTGTCTTTGAACGTGCTCTGGCCACTGGTGATGTCTGGCCTGTGCTGTTCCTGGAGATTGATGACCTTCCACTCTGTGGCTTCCACGCTGATGACCTTCCACTCCTGCTCCCTTCTCCTCCTCTCTCTGCTTTCCTCCCCAGAAAACTCTCATTTATTTTTTATGTTGATTGGCTTAGCTATCTCTTTGTTTCAATGCCACCTTCTAAACCATGCCCTGGGGGCCTCATCTTTGCTAAATAAAAGCCTATTTACTTACTCCAGAGAGAAATTATGCTACTTCTTACAGGCTAAAGCTGCCACAGTCACTTGTGGTTTTAAATAGTACAATAATGACTTTATCTCTGCCTATAAGACCAAGCAACAGGGCTTGAATTTGGAGGGGCGGGGTAATTACGGTTATAAGTGGTAGAGGTTCCAGAGCTCATTGCCATCCAAAGACATTGACAATGTGCATCTGTCCTGAAGAGCAAGGTTCTGTATTAATTGAAAATATATCCCAGGCTGGTGTGGCTCAGTGGACTGATCGACAAGCCTGTGAACCTAAAAGTTCACAGGTTCAATTCCCAGTCAGGGCCCATGCCCGGGTTGGGGGCCAGGTCCTCAGTTCTGGACATGCAAGAGGCAACCAGCTGATATAACTCTCACACATCAATGTTTCTTTTCTTCTCTTTGTCCCTCCCCTCCTCTTTCTCTCAAAATAAATAAGTAAAATCTTTTTTTTAAGTTTTCAAAAGAAAAAGTGAATTAAAAATTTTAAAAAGAAAATATATTAAAATTCTGGAACTCTTCTGGTTCTGGTGAACTCCTTATGGGTCCTTTTCACTTTTCCTGGTTCCTCACCTCTCTATTTCACTCCACCTCCACCCCTGTCCCTCCCATGCCCCAACACACACTATTTAAAAAAGTAGCATTTGGTGACCATCAGATGTGGTGGCTGTCAGGTTCCCTGACACTGAGGCTCAGTGGAGACCATCTTCATTCATCTTGCTGGGGGCAGTGGGTTTCCAGCATCTACACATACAATTGGGTCCACCCACTGTAGGGTCCTGGTGCCGCCACCTGCAGCTGAAAAACATCTACCATCAACCATGGAGTTGTCATACTTATCCCAGCTGGATGCAAAAAAAAGCACCTTCCAACTCACAAAAACAACAATGATGATCTTAGGCCTTGGGGAGCAGTGGTTATACTCCTTTTATAAAGCGGCATTAGGTGTGGGACTCTCCATCCTCACTAGCAGCAGCAGCGGCAGCACCGATAGGAGCAGAGTGGTAGACTGGGATCAGCAACTCTGTGGACACAAAGGGACACAGAGCAGTAAGTGTGGGCTCAGCAAACAGTGGGGAGGAGTAATTGTGGACATATGTAAGCACCCCGTGGAGGGACTCTGTAAAAAACTGGGCCTCCTTGAGTCAACGAGAAGCCAGTCAAATGGGGGTCTGCTTGTTCCTATTGACTCTTGGGGTTTAATGTGATGTGATTGCATTTGCAAGCAGCAGCTGCTGAATCCTGAGACACTTGGATTACATGCTGCTGTAAATGGCTTTTGTCTCTAAGTCTATAAAATGAACAGAGATACAAGACGACACTGCTGTAGAATGATTCTGTGTCTTTGACCCATTCTACCAGCGGTGCTTTCCAGAATGCTACTAGAGGAATTTCCACACAAAATATCAGAATAGGTAATAATGTCTGAACACCACTTCTAAATATTTTGTTAAGTGCTAAGCCTACCTTATCTCCTGAAATCCTTACCAGGATCCTCACAGGTAGGTGTTGTTAGAGATGCAGAAAGGGGCTCAGAGACTTTAAATACTTTAAGGTCAGCAACAAATAAACATTTAAGCTGCTTAATCAAAGACATAAAAATAAACATTAAACTCAGCAACCAAAATATTCTGGAATAATTTGGGATCCCCTTTATCTTAGGCCAGCCTCCCTGGCAGCAAAATTGGAGCCAAGGCTTTATGTGCCTGTGTAACAAAGAAGCTCTCCCGGAGGACGCTGATGGGAGGTGAGGGAAATGGGGATGGGAGAGCAGCAAGTCAAGCAAAGGTGTGATCGCAGGTGAAGAACCACAGAGACTGCCTTCACCTGACTCCATAGACCCAGGGTGTGAGCTACATCTCATAGCTGTCTAACCAGAGGCACTGCCACACCTGTCGGTCAGGGTTGTCTCCGGGGGGAAAAAAACGCCATAAGCCTGGCCACTGAAATAAAATCACAGCAACCCCCCTGGTGCACACGCACAGTAGAGAGGGATCTGAGGAACCCGGCCAGAGCCCCAGCATTATCCAGCACAACCATTCAACAGCGGGGCTGGCTCTCATCCAGCGGCAAATCCTTGAAAGTCATCGGCAGTAAGAGCCAAATTAGAGGGGGTATTTTTATAACTGGGGCTTCAGATGGATTGCCTATAACCAGAAAGATTGTTGGATTGTATATAGGTCATCCTTTGTGTTTATTCAAACTGGTCTATAATTTGGGAGCCTAGCATTTTCAGGTTTCTGTAAGGGGAGGGAGAGTGAAGTCAAGGGGGCAGCTTGATGCGGCCGAGCACCTCTGGCTTTGCCCGAAGACGAGACGTGCTTCCCCACACAGCAGCCACCGCTTGTCCCTGTGACCCTGAGCAAGTCATTTCACTCTGTGAGCCTCAGTTCCCTTAGAGGGAAAGAGAGGAAAATTAACCACTCCAGAACTGGTGAAATACTCAGATGAAATGATGCCTATGAAGTCCTTTGTAAATGGTCAGCAGGATAAATGTTAATTCTTAGTAATATTGGATTGTCGTTGGATTTACCAGAGAGAACCGTATTTCCATTCACATGGAGGTAAACATGACCATGATTAGATGTAAATTGCAGAGAAATGGAGTCCTTTCTTATTCTGAAGCAGCCTGAACTCGCCTGCCTCCTAACATCGTTATCTAAACCATCATCCAGTTAGAGATTAGATGGATTTGAAAAGAGAGCAGCCTTGAGTTTCTGGAAATCCCAGCTCACAATGACACAGCCGGCCAGGGCCTCAGAAGATTTTGACTGTTGGCTGCTACTGCATCTCATACGTTCACACATCCCATGGCCCGGGCTCCCCCTGTCAACTGCACTGAACCCTCTAGCACCCCCAAGAGAATATGACATGATAAACACACTGAACTGAAGGTGCAGCGACAGTGGAATAAACATTCCCCCCCTAGGCACACAGCCTTAACCCAAAGGAATAGCTCTCAAATGTCAGGGAAAAGCTGGTTGCAGATGCAAGAGGAGCTCACCCAGGGCAGTAGTCTGAAAATCACACCAGAGCCCTCAACTAAATAAAGCTAGCACTGTTTGCCAGAAAACTGTTTCTCTTGAAAGTGATTCCAAGTGATACAAAGAGCCTCAATTACCACTTAATGTTTCCTTCTCAACCATGGTTTGAGAATAAAGAAAGAATTGACTTTGGGATCAGAACAGTCTGAGCTTTACTCCTGACTGCAGCATTTACCAGCCATGTGACCTTGAGCGTTTTCTGATTTTCAGCTTTTCCATCTGTGAAATGGGATTCACAGCACTTCCCTCAAGAAGTTACTAAAAGAACATAAGCAAATTGCTTCAAGCAGTTTTTGCTGCATAGCTGACATCGAACAAATATTGTCAATAAAGTTAATAATAATAATATGTAAATGGCCTAGACCACTGTCTATGACATAAAACATTATTATTGCTATTCTCTCCTCAGAGAGCATTTCAGCGGTTTGCAGTGACTGGTAGGCAGGCAGTAAATAAATGTTGGTCAAATTGATGCATACACAACAAGCTTCCTAACCCATTGAGGAAAGAGATAACTTCTGAATTCCATGCCTGGACAATCCCTTACCTTCTAAACATCTTAAAGATAGCCCCTGTATCTCAGCCCAGGTTTCATGGACCACGCTGTCATTCTGATAGTTCCTCCCTCGTCAGCCCGAGAAGGGAGCGGTGGGTGGCACACACAGCATTGCCAGCCAAGGCGCTGGACTGAGGCCGTCGGCGGCAGGAGCGCTGTGAGTCACCAACAGTTTCTGTCTGGAACTGAAGCAGGAAGTGCTGTGAGCATGGAGTTGTGCTGATTTACCCTGCTGCAAAGCCAAACCTCAGAGTGGGAATGTCACGAACACTTGTTTGTTTCTGAGATGATATCTACTTTGACTTTGCACAAAATATGGAACTAATCAGTATCCAAACACCTTCTCCTGTCAATGAAAAAATGCAGAAATATAGGACCCCATCGGTACCACAAGAGGAGTGCCACTCTCTCTTTTCGGTTATCTCTGGCCCTGGCAGACAACCCTTCCTTTGTAGATTTGGAGGGAGCAGAGAAGGTGGGTTTGACTATTCAAGCAGCCTCTCCCAGCTGAGGCACTGTTTCCTCGAGCCAAGACTGAAAAAAGCCAGAGGGAAGAATTCAGAGCAGGAATAAGGGGGCGCTCGGGCAGAGTTGGCTGGCTGCTCCGTGAAGACGTTATGTTGGCAACATTCCCTAGGACACAAGAGAAAGAACCATACTGCCTGAAGTCCAATTTCAAACACATACCACAAAGTCACGGCTAAGGAAATCCTGGGAAACGATAGCATCTTCAGTGAGGAAGATCAGTTTTCTGACAGTAACAACAGTCATTTATTAAGAATGGATGCCATGCTCTCTGCAAGAATCATCTGCACAGTGACTCACAGGTACTATCTCAGTTTGTAGGGCTGCGATCACAGAGTATCACAGAGACTGCACAGCTTCGACAACAGGTGCACATTTTCTCACAGGTCCAGAGGCTGGAAATCTGAGATCAAAGCGCTGGCAGGGCCGGTCTCCTCTCAGGGCCGCGACGGAAGGAACTGTTCTCCGTTTCTCTCCTTGGCTCGCAGACCGCCACCCCCTTGCTGTCTCTTTATATGGTCTTCCCTCTGTGTGTTTACATCCCTGGAGTATCTTTTGTGGGTCCAGTTTCCTTTTCCTATAAGGACACTGGTCAGATTCAATTAGGCCTTATTCTAACTTAATCATCTTTCCCTAATAGCCTTGTGTTAACTTAATCAACTTTTTAAGCCCTGTCTCCAAACACTGTGACGTTCTGAAGTACTAGGGGTCAGGACATCAGCACATGAATTGGGACAGGGACACAGTTCAGCTCGTAACAGACACTATGATTCCTATCTTACTGATGAGGATTTTAAGGTCTTCAGGGTACAACATAGCTAGTAAATGGTAAAGGCAGCATTGGAATTGGGGTCTGTTTGACATGAAATTCTGTTCTTTCTACTGTATGTATGACACAGTCTCTGAAGCTGCTGAGCAGGACAGGGATGTGGCTAAAAGTGACACCAGAATCAGGAGTTAGAGGCTGCCGACAGTCCAGAAGGTTTTGGTAGGCCCTTCCCTGAGAAACTTGCTTTGAAATGCGTCGTAAGTGTAAATCCTGCAGTTGTCGATTCATTTACATTTTGTTCCTTTGTTACTATAGAAAATTTCTCTAAGCAACAGAAAAATCAATAATCCACCCCTGCACAGGCACATACCTGCCCTGGCTAATTATTTAAGACATTGCTCAAAGCTACGCTCCTAATTAACAGTGTGCGCCGCTCCTGCCGAAACATGAGCCCAGCATCTCTCACAGTTTGTAATCCATCTGGTCCCCAGGCCCACGATGCCCATGTCAGGTACGCCTGCCACCCGCATGTCACCTGTCCGCCTGTGTGGGGTGGGAGGGGCGCTCCTCGGTGGGTAGGGAATCAATAACAGCCAATTCTCTGGACTCTGTTGACATGCATGGCTAGTTTTCTCTTGTGATTAATTACACTCATTTCTGCAGGAGGATTAATTCACTTTTCTGGAGAGCTTCTCTGATTTTTGCTATTAAAAAGCAAATCTCAACAATCTCCCTAGCTCAGAAAGATTGGAGTCTAGTTCAGTGTAAGTGATCACAAGTGTCAAAATCCAAAGCTCGAAAGGGAGGGTGGTTACAAATACAAGGGTGTGTGTGTGTGTGTGTGTGTGTGTGCAGATACATGGTATATGCACATATATGCACATAAACATTAATCTTATACAATTTTGATTTTTCTAATTAAGATGACTACATGTCCCTTTTTTCATGGTTGCCGCCTATTTCAAAAAGCCTATTAATGTACATGTACAAGCAAGCCAGATTTCAGATAATAATACACTCCAAAAAGAGCAGATAATTGGAGACATATTCACAACTAGACCTAACTCTCTTCAAACAAAGAGCGACGCCCAGTTAATTAATGTTTGTCAAGTACCTTAAAATTATACAAT